ATGCTGCAGAGGGAGTGCCCCGGGCTTCCTTTCGCCTTAGCAACCTGATTCTAAATAGCCCGTGTTGTTACCATGTTAATTCCTCTCCTTTCCACCCCGTGAAGCTATTCTGCATTGAAAACACTGGAAATCTCCAGTTGGGTCTCCGTGGGCAATGCCATGGGAAGGATCCCGTGGGAATCCTGTAGCTGCAGAGCTGGCTGTGCTCCCGCCACCTGGATGCAGGCACGCAGCTCTGCAGGGAGTCTGTGCCCACGGGGGCGCCCCTGCGATGGATGGCGCAGATCCACAGGGAGTCTGTGCTCACGGGAGTGCCCCTGCGATGGATGGCGCAGATCCACAGGGAGTCTGTGCTCACGGGAGTGCCCCTGCGATGGATGGCGCAGATCCACAGGGAGTCTGTGCTCACGGGAGTGCCCCTGCGATGGATGGCGCAGATCCACAGGGAGTCTGTGCTCACGGGAGTGCCCCTGCGATGGATGGCGCAGATCCACAGGGAGTCTGTGCTCACGGGAGTGCCCCTGCGATGGATGGCGCAGATCCACAGGGAGTCTGTGCTCACGGGAGTGCCCCTGCGATGGATGGCGCAGATCCACAGGGAGTCTGTGCTCACGGGAGTGCCCCTGCGATGGATGGCGCAGATCCACAGGGAGTCTGTGCTCACGGGAGTGCCCCTGCGATGGATGGCGCAGATCCACAGGGAGTCTGTGCTCACGGGAGTGCCCCTGCGATGGATGGCGCAGATCCACAGGGAGTCTGTGCTCACGGGAGTGCCCCTGCGATGGATGGCGCAGATCCACAGGGAGTCTGTGCTCACGGGAGTGCCCCTGCGATGGATGGCGCAGATCCACAGGGAGTCTGTGCTCACGGGAGTGCCCCTGCGATGGATGGCGCAGATCCACAGGGAGTCTGTGCTCACGGGAGTGCCCCTGCGATGGATGGCGCAGATCCACAGGGAGTCTGTGCTCACGGGAGTGCCCCTGCGATGGATGGCGCAGATCCACAGGGAGTCTGTGCTCACGGGAGTGCCCCTGCGATGGATGGCGCAGATCCACAGGGAGTCTGTGCTCACGGGAGTGCCCCTGCGATGGATGGCGCAGATCCACAGGGAGTCTGTGCTCACGGGAGTGCCCCTGCGATGGATGGCGCAGATCCACAGGGAGTCTGTGCTCACGGGAGTGCCCCTGCGATGGATGGCGCAGATCCACAGGGAGTCTGTGCTCACGGGAGTGCCCCTGCGATGGATGGCGCAGATCCACAGGGAGTCTGTGCTCACGGGAGTGCCCCTGCGATGGATGGCGCAGATCCACAGGGAGTCTGTGCTCACGGGAGTGCCCCTGCGATGGATGGCGCAGATCCACAGGGAGTCTGTGCCCACGGGAGTGCCCCTGCGCCCATGTTACACAGTAACAGAGGTGGAGGTTTCAACCTCCAAGCTTGTGCATTCTCTTCGCATTAGTTACTCTTTCACTCCTGAACCAAGGGTCAGTGTTTCTGACCCTACAACCCAACATTCATCATTTGTTCTTTTTAAATATTTATTTATTTTTAATTTCTGTCAACACTTTCAAGGTTTAGCTGATAGCTAAAGCACAGAAAATCAAGGGAGTTGACTTTTCATTTGTCCCTGACTTTTAATTCATGGACACACTAGAGCTTTGAAAAGACAAACAAATCTGTCAGTGCCATCTTAATCTGGTGCTGACTCTTGGTTTTGCAGAAGAGAAATCCACAGTATTTCTTGATGAAGGTGTTAAAGTCCCCAGGTCTCTCATGTTACCCTTATTACTGGAAGCTACTCTTGTTTTATTTTATTTTATTTTATTTATTTTTTATTTTATTTCTAGATTGCAAGTTACTTATAGGAAAACTAGAGGAAGTTTTTTTTTTTCTCTTTCTGTTCTTTTTCTTTTTTACTCAATCCTCAGTGTTTATGAAGGAAAAGTGGAATATTTGCCCTAGTTTTCACTGTGTGTTTCTCTGCAGCTGGGAGCCTTGCCTTCCTCTCTTCTCCCTTTACTAGTATGCGAAAGTTTATTCTTCCTCTTATTGTGACAGCATAAAAAAGGCAGGACAATAAAGGTTTTCTGAAAATAGTACTGCTGCTTCTCTTGGGAGCTTTTCTGAAATGGTAAGAAAAAGATTTAGGGAAGGTAGATGCAGGAGATGCTCTTTGTTTCGTTAAGAGTCAGGCAGTCTGAGGAAGACTGGGAAGAATTGCATCCGCCCAAAGAAGCGTCTAGGTCTGTATCATATTTTTTGCTCAAGGCAAAAGAAGCTTAGAAATAGTCTCTAAAACAGCAGAAGAAAGAATTCTCAATTCCTACAGGAATGAGAAGCCAGGAAGGAACACTTGTGATTGATGCTGCCCTCCCCTCTAAGAAACAGGCTACAGAAGTTGGCAGGCAGCCATGGACTAAAGAACAGTTATGGCAGCTGGATCACCTTGGCTGTGCAGCAGTTATCTTGTCCTTGCCTACCCCGATAGCCTTAGAGTGCAAGAATAAAATGTTCTCCACGTTGGTGGATTCATGAGGTGCTTAAGCATGTCCTCCACTCGGTTAGCTCTAGAAGTGCATTTTATTTTACATCTGCAATGTTCTTGTGAAAATGAGACAACTTCTTTTTGTCAGCTACATAAAGGCTAGTAGATGGATCCACAGGAAATATTTCATTAAATAAGGCTGATTCCAAGGTGCTAAAAATCTCCAAGGCCTGAAATCACAAACTGGAGGTTAGGATGGGAGGAAAAGACTATAGCATGTGAGCTTGGCAGCAATGCAGGGCCAGTTCAGCACACTGCTGCAGGGGGACAGCAGCACAGCCTTGGTTGAGGAGTGAGAAAAGCACTTACAAGCAAGGAACAGGACACGTGCTACCCGCCCTGGCTTCAGCACACCCTAAAACGCCTTATTGGGGATGACAGACATGCTTGTTTCTCATTAAGCTTGTGTTTCGTTATACAGTAAGCTGTTTCATTATACAGTAAGCTGAAACAGCATGCTTGTTTCTCATTAAATTTGTATTTCATTATACAGTAAGCTGTTTAAGATTCCTGCAGTGTCATAGTCTTGTATTTCAAATGAAAGTTTTAGTAGCAACACTCATAGAGATTTTCATTTGACTACATCAAACGCTTTTACCTTAAGTTGTAGCACATTCTCAGACTGCTCTAAATCAGATATATTATGCATACCAACTGATGATATCTTTATGCAGTGTTACTAAAGTACATATTTGAATAACCCTGAATGCTTTTCCAAGGCAAGACAGGGTGATAATATGCAAAGTTGATTGCTTCAGCATGACTTGAGTAAAATTAAGTTAGGCCCATGCCATGTTTCACCATTTAAGAGTGCAGCAGCTAAGGGTAAAGTATAATTAATTTGTCAAAGATTGGAATTACTAAATCATGCAAAAACCTGGAGATAGCCTGGAATAAAGCAAAATCTTTATTACTACATTGAAGATTAGCAAAAATTCTAGTTCTGCCCAATTAAAATTTACTGGAAGAATGTTGTTACATATTAGCAAAATTGAGACACACACGAGAACTCTGCTGTGCAGGATGCCAGCTCGCGGGAGTCGCACTGGTGGCGCCAGCCTCCAGCTTCGCAGCGGTTGCTGGCATGGCAGCGCGTGTGCAGGGGCAGTTAACGCTGTCTCGGCATCTTGTGTGCGCATTAATCCCAACCCCTTGTAATCAACCAAGAGCTACTTGTGAAGGAGACGAGTCAAAGTCACCCGTTACCAAAGGTAACACTTCAACATTTACCAGAGCTACATTAAAGTGCTCTTCATTTCTGCAGCAACTATGCTATCCCCCATTTAAACTGCTGTCCCATCTTTCTATAACCTTACAGCAAAACTGTATTTTTGCAAGAGATGAACTCCAGACACTACACCACTGGAACTCAGTTTCACTGAGCAGCAGCAGAAACTGAGACAGAAGCAGAATAGTTTTATAAGTTTATTGTACAGGCCTTTACAATCTCAGGAAAAGAAAT